TTAAAAAAAGCTATTCTGGAATGTTCCTAGTTTATATATATTACGGCATATTTTTCTTTTCTTTTAAACCTTTTTAGTCATCAGTGATCTTTTAAGTCATCAATATATTTGGAGTCAGTATTATTCAACTTGGAATTAAGTGATTTATTGGAGCTTGGATTATTAATTATTCTTGTGGATTTTATTGTGGAATTTTTCTAAAGTGTTCTTGGATTTAACTTGGATTTAACTGTTGCTATTAAAAGGATCATTTCAGGATCAGACTAGACATTTGTAATTTTTCATTTTCATTTGGACTTCAGGTATTTGTTAACATAATTTGTTATTTTATTTTTCTTTAATAATTTTTCTGTAATAAATTTGTTATTGTTACAAGTTTGTTGCTGGCTTTTCTTTCTCGTTACGCCTGGCTCGTAACAAGCGGTAACGAGGCTCTGCCGAGTTTCCGCTTAACAGTTACCCGAGAGCTACATATTCCCGTCTGTACCAATAGCCGGTGTTTGATTCTTTTTCTTGTATATTACGTGTCAATTATTTTTGGAACAGATATTATGCAAACTGATATTCTCATTACGCACTTTTTTCTTATAGTAGCGTATGAACAAACAACTTCATTCATAACGGAAAAATGACGTCATCCTAAGTACGCGATTCATTCATAAAAGGCGCGCGTCAATGACGTCATTTAATGCATGCTACTTGTCTTACATGGGGGTGTAAGACAGAGTTTTCTAGCACCGGTGTAAACGGTAGATAACCCTGTCTGAGATGCAAGAATTGGCTTTCTGCAGCATATCCCATGCATGCTCAATTGGATTTAAATCCGGCGACCTCGCTGGCCAATCCTTTCGGACTAAAGTTACCTCCTCAAGATATCGGTTTGTGATGTGGGCTTTGTGTATATACGGGCGTTGTCATCAATAAAAATGAAATCAGGGCCGACTACGCCAGCGTACGTGCGAACATGGACGTCTAAGACGTACCTTACTGTCGTCAGTGTACCGTTTTCAATGATGTGTAGGTCCGTTTTCCCCTGATCGCTTATTCCCGCCCACACCATGACTGAACCCCTACCAAAACGGTCGTGTTCTGCAACGCATGCTGGAGCTAAGCGTTCATTTTCACTTCTTCAAACCCTAACCCGTCTGTCCATGAAGTCCAAACAAAACATTGACTCATCAGTGAAGAGGACCGGGGTCCAATCATTAACTGTCCATGTGACATGACTCTGCGCCCATTGCAAACGCTCTTGAATATGGCGTTGATTCAAAGGAATGCAAATTGCTGGCCTCCGTGACCTCAACCCAGCATCATTCAACCTGTTTCTAACAGTTTGTGTGCTTATCACGACACCAGTTACATTCTGGAAGTCGTTACGTAGGGTCGTAGCGTTCAGAGAACGGTTTGGCGCCTGGTCTGAAGGACAATAAATCGGTCCTGGGCTTTGAGTCGTTGAACGTTTCCCGACTTCAGCAAGGCCCTGCAAGACATTTTCAGTCCTTTTGGAATCCGTTCCACATCCTGGGATATCTACGCTTTTGGATACCCCAAGGACATGGGCAACGGGCCTTTGGAACGGGCCAGCCTCCAACATTCCAATACCCCTGTCCATCTCATCTTCACGAAGACGACGTTTTAAACCTGTCGATTTGTTAATTTAATTAGTTAGTTTAATTTCGAACACAGTTTTTTACAATAAAACGAGAGAAGTCTTGCAGCTTGTCACAAGGGGTTTAAGTGAAAGCCACATGGTCATAAATTACTAAATGTCCATTGGTATGCTTTTCCACGTGCTTATTCATGCAAGGTGTACATGACAATTCGGTAACTTAAGTACACGATTATAAGGTCCCCGTACAGGTGTATCGTTAGCGGAAATATGATTATAATATGATGATAACAAGACTGAAATATGCAATGTCAAAAAGGTGATCCTTAGCAAATTTTGAGTTGTATATAATTAAACAAATTATATATACGCCGTAAATTGGCATAGTTTGTAACAGAAATTAGAGCCTTTAGGAAGTTTTTTCTCTCTTTCTTTGTTTCTTGTTTACATTCCAGTTGAATAATTGAATGGCTATTTATGTTAATGATAAGAATCGGGCGGGTGATTTAGATTTGCGTCCGCGTTAAAATAGAAGCACTTATAAATATCAAAAGGAAAAATCTCTTTTTTTTTATAATCTTTTTGTTTTTGAATCAAAAATATTGTAACGGGCTACACGCTAATTGACATAAAACAATAGATATTTTGATGTTTTACCGAGAAATATTTACACATCAGTGTAACTGACATGAAGGTTAACAAAATTAGGTAGGGATATTCCTACGACATCAGTTAAAATGGCGGCGGGAATTACCAAATACCTTACGGAAAAAATCAACTTTTTAAATCATGTTGGTTTTTTAACAAAGGACATCTTAAAACACCTTTTTATTGTATTTTTATAATCTACATATGGAAATATATTCAAAACAGGAAAAACATGCCTATTTCTGGCCACAGACCTTTAAAGAAACCGAGATGGCAGTGTGAAGTTATTTATTGGCGAATGTCCAGATATGGGGATACCCGTTTTTCATGACATAATAAATATTGCCCATTTTCATAATAATATTAAAAATGTAGTAACTTTTATTTTCCGGATGCACCACTATGAAGAACCTTTTTCAGATCCAATTGTCAAAACAAAAGGTGGAACGATTCTTTTGATTTTAATTAAATATACTTGCATGAGATTAGCTGATGATTGTTTAGGTAAAGATTTTAACTTGGTGTTTTTTACTTCACAGGCCCGACCCGAAAAAAATTGGCTTGTTTGGGTTATTTTGAAAGACCCAAAATACTTTTTTTAAAATGGGTCAGGAAAATGAAAACTATATGTTAAAAAGTGGCTTTTTGATGCCTTTTTTTGCCATTTTTTAAATTGGGGAAGGGGTCTAAAATATTTTTTTTAAAAAAATTGCAGAATTATGAATTTGGGTTGACATTTTAAAAGGTTTTTTTTTTTTCAAAAGTGGGAGAAAATAGAAATTAATGTTAAAATGATTTGGGAGGGAAAAAAAATCCCCTTTTTTAAAAAAATTTTTTGAGGGGAGGATGCCTTTTTAAAAGGTCCCTTTTTTATTTAAAAGGAAAAAAAGATAATTTTTAAAATAAATCCCAAAAAAGCTTTCCCTTTAGAAATCCCCTTAAATTTTGGGCATTTAAAATTTTTAAAAAAATCACCTTTAAACCATTATTTTTTAAAAATAAAATTAAAAAATTAAAACTAAATTGAAAAAATATAAAAATATCATCATCCAATTTTAAGGGGGCTTTTTTCTAATTGACCACTTAAAAAGTAACAATTTTTGTTCTACTAAGAAATTTTCTTAGGTTAAATTTAACTAAAATGTTAAGTTAAAGTGGCCCTTTTTACACTGACCAAAAAGAAAACTACAAAAAAAAGTTTTGTTGACCCGGAAATATTAGTCTTTTGAAATTAGGTTGACAATTGCCCAAGGGATGCGTTTTTGAACTGGGAAGAATGTTTTTGAAGGAAACCCCTCATTGTTTTTTTTTTTCCTTTTTTTTAAATTTTTTTAGGCCCGGGTTTTTCGGGAGGGGGGTCAGCCCCTTAAGCCCCTCCCAGTGGATCCGGGCCTGTTTAATAAAGCCGCCAGTCAAGCAGTTCAATTGATTATCTATAAATGAAAAAATGTGATTTTGAGAATATATGTGCTTTTGAAATCAATCAATTTATGGGAACAACCCTTTTAAAACAAAAACATTTAAAAATTGGGTGTTTCAAAATTTTAAATGGTGTCATGTTTTATAAAGAATAAAAATTTTGGAAGCAGTTCTTTTTGGAAGGAAAGGACTAATTTAAAAGATATTTTTTTAAAATTTTTCTTTTTGAGGCATTTTTAAAATTTTTTTTAAAGGTTTTTTAAACATTTTTTTAAGGGTGTAGCCCGAACCCCTTTTTTAAACGAAAAGTGGACATGGGTTGGGTTTCTTGATTGTTTTGTGTTGACCAATTTAACGTAAATAAAAGCTTACAAATTTCAAAAAGGGGAAGCCTGGGTTTTTTTTAAAAATGTACTATAATTCTCTTTCATGGTACCAAACGACCTTTTCGTGAAGAAATTTTTTCTATAAAAGTTTTTAGTTTGATAATCGGAAACTTTGATAAGTTGAGTTTCTACTTGCATCATGAAAACATTTATGTCCATTTTTTATGACAGCCACACTTTATCCTTGCATATCGTGCCTTCTTCTTAATTAAGGTAGACCATGGGTAATTTGCACCATAAGGAACTGTAAATGTGACATTTTATGACAGTTATGTGTCTTAAAGGTGATCTGTATACAAAATTTAAATAAAATCTACCATGTGGTTTATGAGTTATATTTCTGAACTAAAACTTTGCTGTTAGAAGGCTTTTTATTTCAGAAATAAGGAATCTCCAAATAATCTATAATATCATTATTATGAAAAATGTTTTCCTATTGCCCATTGTTTAGAAACAATAATAACATTCAGGTTACAAATTACACGAGCAAATGAGGGCTGTTTTCAAAGTTTGCCTAAATTTTCTTAACAGTATATTGGTTGAAAATGCGAAATATAAAATACTTTTACCGTATAATTTTTATCTTATTAAACTTTGAAAATATCTGGTAGCATATTTGCTATTAAATTTGGCATTATTTAGCAAATAATTACCTACAATAATTATATTATTAAAATCAAATACCTTTTTCTTCCATAAGGGATCTGAGAGATACCCGAATAATGTTAAAGAGAGCAAAGGAAAGAAAAAAGTGACCCTTCTGCGCCTTGAACCCACGCCCCTCAATTTCAATGTGAAAACTAAACTCTTCAAAGAGGAGGTAATGCATAACCCATGGTCTACCTTAAGAAAGAATGTTAAAATCGCTAAAAAAGTTGCCTAGACTGGGATTTGAACCCCTGACCTCTCACACCCTAAACGAGCCTGTTACCCCTGGACAATGGTGAAATTATACATAAAGGCCTGAATTAAACCAAATTATTTTAAATTTAGAATTTTCATTTAGGTTGGTAATCCTTATTAATTTCGAGGTATGTTGTTCACAGTAAACTTATTGTTTAACATTGATGTAAATAATTTAGTGAAAATCTTCTCGATTATCGATCGTCGACTGCCCTAAATTCGTCCCTGTCCTAGAGTCAATGAATAACAACTGTTCAGTTAGGGGGCGTTTAATTCCGATCACAATAATCCGAAGCCTTGCGGAAATAGCCGAGCAATTTTCATTGATTAAAAAGCCATTCATCCGCGTAATTTAATTAAGCAGATAAAATTAGATGAATGTTTTTGTTTCATTTAAACGAATTTACTGACAAAAATTCAAACACTAAGGGGTTTTAAAAGTGTACAAAAAAAATAAATATTTTTTTTTAAAAATAGAGTTGGGGCCCTTGTTAATTATAATAAAGGGTTTTGGTAATTTGGGTTGAGAAAATTTTTAAAATAAAAAACTTAATATTTTGATTGAACAGCCAATGGAAACAATCAAATGGGATAACTTTAAAGGGCAATAATGTTTAAATAGAAAAATTAATAATTAAATTTTTTTTTTCCTTGCAAGGAAAAAAAGGGATAAAATTTTAAAAAACCCTGTTAAATGGGAAAATGGTTATTTTGGGAAAAGGATATGCGTGACGGTGTTTTTTCAGCTAATATTTTTCATACCCTTCAACTTGGACGTTAATAAATGCAATTTTAATCCGAAAAGAAAAACAAAACAAAACCAAAATGTGTGTTTTTTCACTACCAAAACAATAATGTTAAATATATAAAATCTCTTACTTTTTTAAAAAGAACATTTCAAACAATAAATTTAAACCTCTTTTCTTAATAAATTTTTTCTACTTTTTAAAACTACATTTTTATAAATTTCTACTTCTTTTCTATGTAATGTGATGCCCTTTTGCTCTACACAGATCGCGCGTGCGCGAAAGAATTCTACATCCGGTCGATTTCTCATAGCAAAAGAAAGCGTCGTAAAAGGTCAATAATATATAATAATCAATAATGTATATTGGTTTAATGTGTGAATGTCCAATAACATCACCGTAATGTATGTGTGTATATACGAGTAGATAGTATAAATCATTGTAAAAGAGGTGTAAAAACGGAGCGTTTCCAGTTAAAGGAATAATAGATGAAGTTTTGAATTATCCTGAACTTCATAATTATGTTTCCCAAAATTTTTGGAAGACATATTGTTTTTGCCTTTGCCGTCTGCTACCCGTCTGTCTGTCCGTCCGGTCGTCCGTCCGCATTAAGCTTGTCCGCTCTTCACAGATCAAACTACTGGTGGGATTTCAACCAAACTTTACAGGATTGATCAGTACTATCTCTAGTTGTACGTTCCACTTCGCTGCACAAAATGGCCACCAGAGCTAAAAATAGAAATATCTTGTCCGGCCTTCACAAGTCAAACTACTGATGGGATTTCAACAAAACTTTACATGATTGATCAGTACCATCCTTAGTTGTGCACATCACCGGCACGGCACGTCCGTTTCGCTGCACAAAATGGCCGCCAAAGCTAAAATAGAAAAATCTTGTCCGGTCTTCACATGTCAAACTACTGGTAGAATTTAAACCAAACTTAACAGGAATGATTAGTACCAACCCTAGTTGTGCACATTACCGGCACATTCCGCTTCGCTGCACAAAATGGCCCCAGAGTTAAAGATAGAAATATCTTGTCCGGCCTTCACATGTCAAGCTACTGTTGGGATTTCAATGAAACTTCTCATGAGTGACCATACACAGTTTTGGGAGACATATGTTATTGTGACAAAAACCCATCTAGATTAAATTTGTTTCTATTTAAACAACAAAGAGCCATTGGTGTTTTAAAACAAAAATTTCAGATATGATTAATAATAACGTTTTGAACACTCTGTATAGAAATAACAAGCAAAATTGTCTTTTGAATGTTATTTGGATAAAATGTAGTGTAGGAAATCAAGAAAAAAATAACCCGTCTAAAAATATCTGAGCATAACTCTAGAATATAATCTGGTAGATATGGTGTAGAAACAGATTTAAACGACATGAGTGCATGCACATGTCAGCTTTGTAATATGCAAGATTTTGAAGACGAACTTCATTTTATATATTATTTTTGTCTGATCGAAATTCGTACAAAATTCATGAAAGAATAGTATTATATAAGATCTAGTACAAGTATACATGAATTGATAGAATTACTTAAGTCATGCGAAAAGTCTGTGTTATTAAATTTATGCATCTTTTTATTTTGCAAATAATAAAAAAGATATGTTAATAGGCATATATTTGAATAAACATGTAATGTTTAAAATGTGATTTAAAGATAGTGTAAAACGTTCAGTCATTAAACAAATAATGGGCTGCTGTTCTGGTTGATGTCCTATAATGTGTTAGCTTTTTGAGGCTACGTTTGGGGGTTGCGTTCATTGAACGCTGCCTTGTTTATCACACAGGTGCTAGTCCAGTCTTGGTGCTGGCTTTCGGACAAGCGATAGCAAGATAATTTCAATATTTTAAGAAATTTTATACAATTGTTAGAAGAAGCAAATTGAAAATCGAATTGAGTGTGAATAGGAGAGGGACAACTAAACAGGTGCTTCAGGTACTTGTAGCAGTGACTTTGGCGCTTGTGACGATGCATATGTTTACTGTTTTGGCCCGAACGAAACATTCAAAACAAAATGATGACCACACAGTCTGCTTAATGAATATTTATTACACAATACAAATGTTCTTTTAAAAATAAATATTTCAGAAAGACAAAAGTCTGGTTTGGCAAACTAGACAATTAGGAAATTACTTTCAGGTTGAAAGGTTTTCTACCACTGAAAACCTCGTTTATGCAATATTATGTCAAGGATAAGATCTGATACTTTTCACGTATGTTCGAATTGAATACATTTAAATAAGTGTTTCATTAACAACTATAAAAGATACATTTTATACATATTTGATTGTAATTAACTCCAACTGAATAAGAATATTAACTTTTGATGAAAGAGTAGCAGGTTTAGAATTTTTGAACAAGAATTTGGTTTAAAAGTCTGAAAGATTCAAGTTAATAATTTGAAATGCAAAGATACACAACATGTATCATTAAAACTATATTTGTTTTCTGTCACCATGTTGGTCTGTAAATATCATGCATACCTACTCCTCGTACCATAACTATTCCAAATCAAAGAAGTACAAGGATCTCGATATTTTATTACCATATGATTCGTTTTGATTATTTTGTCAATAAGGATATCATTGATTCTAATAATTCTGATATTTGAAAAAAAAATGGTTTAATATAAGTGCAAATATATGTTGAGAGCGAATATTAAGATCACTGTCCATGTGCATCCTTTATGTCAGGAAATAAATCCCAGCATGTGATCAACAATCAGATCAGAATTATGCATTTTACACAATTTAAATCTGCATTGAATTTTATCAGAGATATATTGACTGTAACACAGATATGCAAATATATTGTTATACATTTAAGTAAGCTTAACATATATTTAATATAAAACATCAAGATTTCTACATATAAATTAGTACTTACATAATTTAATATTATTTTAAATCAATTATGTATTCCACATATACTTAACCAACACCGTTTATATTTTTTAAAACATATTTCTTGTTGCCCAATATTCCTGTTTCATTAAGCTTAAATCTGATTAAAGTTTCCCGAAACTTAAGTAAAATAACACTATACCAACACAAGTAAAACAAATATCGTTAAGGTATTGCCATCCTTATGTCATACCTCCGCTTTGAAGAGTATTCAAATAGGCTAGAACTACAGTTAACTACATTGAAACTGAGGGCCATGGGTTCAAACCTCAGATGGGTCAACTTTTTGTTTTCTTTCTCTTTTTTCATTTAACATTATTTATGTATCTCTCCATCCATTTTGGGTAGTAAAAAGTGTTTATTTTTATATTATTTAATTTATATGAGTATTTATTGGCAAAATATTGCTAAATCTAGTAATAAATATGGTACCTGATATTTTCAAAGTGTAATAAAATCAAAACTAGACGGTAAAAGTATTTAATATTTTACACGATCAACCAATATACTTCTTTAAAAATGTAGGGAAACTTTGAAAACAGGCACTTATTTGGGTAAATTTTAAGGATCTTTTAAATTAGGCTCCCTAAGTAGGAAAATGGTCAAACACGTGTTAAAAATGGGTGGGGTAGGCTAACATTTTTATACATATTTTTAAATTTTGAGTAGAAACCATAATTTTGTTTATGTTGATTGTTAGCTGAATAATACTTTTTGTTTCTAACCAAAAAATAATGGGAAAACGTTTTTCATTAGAATGTTATTGCAGATTATTTAAAGGTTATTAATTTCTGAAAAAGGGTCCTCATAAACCCTAGCTTCAGTTCATAAAAGTGGCCATAATTCGATTTCCGTACGGTAAAGTTTGTTTAAATGTTGCATACAGGTGTACTTTAAGGTATATATCTGACCTATGATATAAATTCTTCAGTTCCTTATAGTGCCCGTCAGGGTGGTAATACCTTTAATATTATTTGAGTTAATAACATCATCCTCAAAAATTAACAAATATTTTACCTTTACTTCCATTTCTTTAGCATGATTGTCATCTAACAAAAGTTTCGAATTCAAACCAGTGAGAATGAGTGATTGAGTAGAAAATTTCTTTTCTAGAAGTTGAGTTTTATTCCCAAAAGGCATACTTAGTTTTCCTATCTCACCACGGAAACTGGCAATGGCATCTTTTGCATGTCTCTCATTTTCTTGTTTTGACATAACGGTGAGAGCATCGTCTATACATGGAACTGTACCATTTTTTATCGCTTTCACAAAGGCGTTCAATAATTCTAGTAACACTGCAAGAATGAGACAATTACATTCAAGCATTTATTACAATAATAAAACATTATATCATTTATTTTCATGTTAAAACGTGTAAGACTACTTTAAATTTCAATGTTATTCAAAGCTTGTATCATCACACGTTTTAAATAAATGACAATGAATGTACCGTTGTTATAATATGAAACAAGTACAAGTCTTACACGAAATAAATTTGTTTATCTTGTCTAAAATAAAGCTGATATGTCGTGCACAAACGTACTTATATTTAAGAACGATTTAGCGTTAAGGCAAATAAAACTGATTCTATATTTTATTTTTTTCTACTGTTATAAAAAAAACCATGAGGTCCTTGCACATGTATTTCAGAATAAATTTGCTGAAATTGATTCTCTTTTTGCTGTTTACTTTCTTTTCGTGTTACCATAAAATACAGGAACATCATAGTCATCATCGTCATTTATTGATAATCTGCAATAACACATTTTACAATAAACATTTCAAATAATGATGCCGTATCATAATAAATTTTTCATTACTTACTGCGGCCAGTTACAAGTTTTTTATTTTGCAGCATTTTTGCCGGACGTTCATAGACATATGCTATAAACTTTTTCGTCTCATTAACAAAGTCGTCGGAAAGGTTTTCTTCTTTAGCTTGTTCGAGGTTCTTCATTGCCTTTCTTGAGGCTGGTCTATCAAATGTGAACGCTTTCCTTTTTGTAAAATATTTTTTAATGCACAGCCTTGGTCTGTTGTATGCTTCGTCTAATTTGCTATTTTCTGTTTTCTTTCCTTTCAGGCAGTGTTCAAAATAATCGTCTTCACTACACTCTTTTCCGTCTATTTCAAGGTCAAGAGTAAAATCACGGATACACAAGACGAAATCAGGCATTAGTAAATCAAAGTTATTGTCCGTTGTGTCGGTGGCTGAAACTTTCAAGTTTTCTGACATTTTTGTGATAAAACTACACAAGCTAAGGAAGTACGTGTAACATTTCATTTCACGCACACACAAAAGCATGATTTATAATTACTTTTCATATAGACTTTTATAAATTCATTTTAAATTAACATTTTTATGTAAATGTAACAAAAATGCAGCTGTAGAGCACTTGGTTAAGTCATCAGATCAGGGATCTACCAAGATGAGCGACATTCAAGTCCCGATAGAAGTATGTCAACGGGACAATCGTAAATAGGCCCAGAAGGAAAACGAACGAACAAAGAGTAGTAAAGCTTAAGTTTCAAATTCATATTTATCGATTTGACAAAATTATTGCAGATATAAACCGGACAAGTTTAGATTTGTAGCTTAGACATATTCCGATAGTGGTCGATTGCCGTGTCATTTATTATACATGAATGCAAGTTATCTATATCGCTTGAGGCACCTTTGGCGATGGCTGATCGAGAAAATAACCGTATAGAATTTAAGTAATTAAATAAGAATGTTCAGCAAATATAGGTTTAAAAGTTATATCCCAAAATTAACTAAACTTCTCAAAATTAGGGCTATCAATGCAGCTACTTGTCACTTTAAACTTGAAAAGGTACTATTAGAATATTTGGAATGCCCACCTATAAAAGAAGAATAGGGGATAGGGGTCACTTTGGCTACATTTACTTGGCATGCACGTCGGCCATTTTGGATTATAATTTGAATGTCAATTGGTTTGGTTTCATATAATTTACGTGGATACGTAATCAAGTAGTGTGTATTCTATAACTAATCTTATCAGACGCGTTTTATAACAAAGATAATATGAATACGACAAAGATGTATTGTTTGTCAGATTATTTATATTAAACGTGTATAATAATAATAATGAAAAGGAGATTATTAAAAATAAAGATAATCATTGCCCTTGGAGAAAATAAAAAAGAATTGTTGTACTGGAAATTTATATATAAATGTGTAATAATGGTGTCAAATTTGAGTGAAAAATAAGAGTTATAATTCTAGGTCTAATAAAAGAATAAATTTGGATGAAAGTTTGCTCAGATTTGTTTATAAATTCAATATGTGTTAAAATATCAGTTTCTTACGTGAAGGTTTAGATTTTGAAAAATACTTGCTTTCATCCGATTTGAAATTGTAAAAGAAGGGATAATATAGTAGAAAACATCGCTATCATGTAATATATCTGATAAAGCTTATGTAATTGAATGAAAATTTTATACGTATTATCTATTCAAGTTAAGATATGATGTTCAAATTTACTAATGTTAGATTATATGAGTGTAGTGTATAAATGTAACCATCATAAAACAGGCGCGAATAAAGTGAGGTAATAGAATAATTATATCAGTGACATAAACAATGTGTGTGTATCAATTAAAATAAATTAATAAACTTTTCTAGAAATAATGAATGAGTAAAATATAGAAAAGCCCCTAAATGCCGATATGTACATGAAAAAGATATTGATGCGTTTGTAATAAGATGTAACTATATAAATTTGAAAAAAGAAAATTTAAAAAGGAAAACATACACGAATAAACTATAAGACAAAGAAATACATCTGGAAGTATTTCAGTTCGATTAATCATAACAGAAATAGCAAATAAAGTACTATATATGAATCAAGGGCTCATTAAATTATATTTTTTACAAATGTTAATTATAATATATAGAGGATATTTGTTTAGTTCAGTGTAAGATTGGAATATATTTCACCGAGTGAGCACCAAAAGGTATATTTCACGAGTGGCGCGGCCACGAGTGAAATATGAACTTTTGGTGTTCACAAGGTGAAATATATTCTGATCTTACACTGAACTAAATAAATTTTCTTTTTATTATATGCAAAGTAACGTTTTAAAAAGACATTAAACCTAATACTGAATGAAAAGCGCCCCAAATGATAAACAATGTGACGTCATTTTACCCGTCACTCATTTTAAGGGGATCCAAACTTTGCACGCGGTATTTTATGAAACAACGAAGGGGCTTTAAAATTTAAAAAATTTTGAAATTATCAAAGTGGTAATTTCACTGTTTCAAACAGTGAAATTACCAGTTTTATTTCACTGATATATTTCTATAAACCACCGAAAATCATGTAATAAAAGGATATATATTAGGAAAGTACCGATAGAAAACATAATTATGTAAAAAATCAGAAAAAGAGAAAAAAAAGAAAAAAGATAACAGAGAAAAGAAAATATTTCCAGATGTCACTAACAGTATGGATTCATATAAGAAGAATATCGTTCTTACCAAAATCTCTTGCTTTTGCTGATATAATCTTGAACAGCAAGAACACTATTACAGTTAGTATTATCATTCATGTTAAAGTCGCCATATAGTAGTGTTTGCAGCGTTATACTACAATAGTTTGATAAGATGTTCATGAAACTTTCTCTTATTCCATTATTAAGTGGGCAAATGAAAAAGAAATGATGTGTAGTTTCAGTAAGGATTTATATGTATATGCCACGATCCGTCGTTTGAAAAAGTAACACCAAGGTGTTTATGATAGGCTACTGACGATATCGGAGTGTCATTCATAAATAGTTGTGGATGTAACGGTTTGCGAGACTTTCGAGAAATGACCAAATTATGTTCAGATACAACACGCTCAAAAGCCTTTTAATAGGTGGGATATGGGACGATAGTTATTTGGCATAGAAGGGTCGCCTTTATTGTATATAGCATAAACATGGGCTTCCTTCCAAGACAAGAGAACCGTGCTACATTGAAGTGAAAAATTGAAAAGAGAAGTTTTTAGTTCCGATGCTGTTTTCAGAAAATACGGTTACTAATTTAATCGAGACCTGTGGCTTTGTTGATTTTCAAATTCTAAGGCATCTTCTATATCTTGTGGAGTTAGTTTTATAATTTTGGGTTTGTTTTGTGGTGTAAACAGTGTATCAAACACAACAGTCACACACATGTACCTGCTATTCGTATTTTGTTTTCCGAATAATGCATGTATTCACAACAATACATTCTTCTGTTAAACTAATATAGCACCGCAAATATTGAAACGACGCTGATTTTCTGTAAACTTGAAATATGTCCTTATGATACATGTGCCCCCACATTCCACTGTTTTGTCAATATACTGGCTCTGGGTCAAATGTTTTTGGGGCTACATGTGACACAAGTTGAAGACTGAAAAACTTTTACTAAGTCAATGACAAAAACTCTATAAAAAGATTATACATCTACTTGCAAACCCTAAAGTGCATAACTACACATGCTTACCAACATTCTTGTATACTTTTAGGACTACAGGTCAAATACTTTTTGAGCTATGCATGAACAAGCCTATAATTTATACTAAGTCCCCAGCAAACATGCATATATGCGTCCCATATGGGCTATATCTAGGCAAGCCCAATGGACCTATATGGGACCAATATGGGCAAGTCCATTTGGGTACGCCCATATTGGACCCATATGGGTCCCATATATTACAGCACTTTAGGGAAAAACGATTTTTCATTTATTTATTTCTTTAGAATTCGTTTACTTTGAGTTATAGTGTGACCACCTTGGCATAAATTGCTATTATCTTATATAAAAATCGTAGCATTAACATATATACAAGCCATGAGGGACCCATATGGGTCCCATTTGGGCAACCCGATAAATATTAGCATGCCTGAGCAGGTGCGAGAAATTAATTTGTTTAGTTTTTATATTGGTTTTAATTTTTATAATCTAATTATAAAAAAAGTGTTTTTAGACTATAAATTCAGAAATAATTTATAAAAATCAGCATTTGATGAAAAATTTATTTCGAGCATGCGCAACCGTGATTTCCGCTGCCGCTTAAAATCAAATTGTGTATTGTTACGTTAAATTGTAAAATTGTACACCAAAACAATATTTCAATTCGGAACATTTAACCACGATTTCGTATAACGACCTTTCATATTATTATCCTTACACATATATTGTGTGTGTAGGTAAGCTGTAAACCTCATTTATTTTTTGTTTTTGCCTTTGTCATGTAATTTCGCGATAGTGACATAGTCGTTTGTCAGTTTAATTTGCGACATTTTCTTGAATTTACGCCCACTTTATAATAACTTATTAATGTATTTTCATTTTATTGTAAATAGGCCATCAAAAAGGCTGTTTGAATCGGATAGTGGCACTGATGAAAATGAGACAGACACAGAGAGGCCACCACAAGTTTATATTAACCAATCAACAACGCCCAAACAGGCACGAAGCCTACTTTCACCTCCGCCTTGCTTATCTGCACAGGCATTGCGAGAGGTCAGCAGTGATGTGCAAAGTGCTTCTCCAATACAAGGTGCTTCTGATACGCGCTCCCGTGTGCAAATTATTGGGCCCAGTAAGTATAAACTTCAGAGCTGTAAATATATACATAATTACAGTACATACTTGTTAAATGTTCTATCCTCAAAACAAGTCAATAAATGTTATAAGTTAACAAGCTGGTTTGAGTAACACAGCCAAAAATGAAAAGTTTTACCTTGTGACGCCCCTAGTTTAAAAAATAATCAAAAGAAATTGATGATTACTTGTGTTAGTCTTTATCATGATGTGAATTTGTGCGCCTATTCTTGCCTGACCCCACTACTGTTATTTAAAGTTACGGTCCCTGGAAGAGTCAAGAATGTTTATTTTCACCAAATGACATGCCTAGCTCAAAAATATGTTAAGTTTAATTCATGATTTCTTATCATTTTCACATTTTGTGACCTTGCACACTCAACAATCCTTTTGAGATTTTAGCGTTAATTACTGTTAAAGCCAAGGAAAAATTTAAAATACTGGATTTTTTTCATTTGTAATTCACATAGCTCTAAAAGTATATGGCCTACAATTATGAATCCTTTTTATTCAGCTGCTGTTACACAGATTCTCCGAGTCTTGGAGACAATGCGAGGAGAGAAGAATCGTGAAATTAAGAGGATGATGCAGCGATTGTTGTCAAGGTCAGCAGCAGATGACCAACCGCTGCAGCTTCCGAAAGATATCTCATTCCCTATTCGTTCTCCTGAGCAGATGGAAGCATTCGATGAGCTTCTGGGAGATCAAACAATGCTGTCATCTGTGGTAAGCATAGTGTTAGTCATGTATGTTGCTCCATTAGTAACTGAAAAAAGTATACCCCATATCCACTGGCTTAAAAGCGAAATAACATAATGGTCTGTGGTGAGCACTTGATGATAATGTATTATCATTCTGCTATATTTATGTTGGAAAATATTGCACAGTGGACAAACACTTTGCTGCATTAATTTCGGAATTAAAAACTGGCATGTTTCAATTTTTTGATTTATATTGACACAGTTATCTTATTATTTAGATATGCTATAATAGCTATGAGCACAAGACATGGGCAGTTGGCCTCGTTTTCAACATTGATTATTTATTAGGACAAGACAGTCAATTCATTAATCAAAATGCTGGCAGCTTTCAAAATACCAGGAAAGTGACTAGTACCCACAAAATCCAGGAATTGAACTGTTATTATAATATCAAAAATTATTCTGTTGATTTTGTATAAACTCTTGTGTTAAAAAAAACAATGTGTTAAAAAAAACAATGTGTTAAAAAAAACAATGATAATGTGCCCCATAACACTCGGTGGAGGGGACAAACATAAAGGTACAAGTCACTAAGGTGTTGTCCTAGGCTGTAAATATATGAGGAAAGATCTTTTAACTTGTCAATCCAAACAGTTTTCTTGGCAGATCATGTTTTTGAGGTCCAGTTGAAAATTATTTGTCATTTGGTGACTTGCAGCCCATCACTTAGTAGTGTTAAAATTAACATTAAAAAAGTTTATGTTCTACTTTATTTAAGGTGCGGTTCCTCTCAATGTTTGGTGGGGCAGATGTGCGGGAAACTGTTGACCGCTTGATGAAAGAAACCATGTCAAATGAACTGGCAAAAATGTACAATATGAAGTGGCTGAAGGGGAAGAAAAAATGTCGGGGCCTCTAGATACTGAATGTATTGTATAGTAAGTGATATTTTACGAATTTGCAAAGTGGTGTCTTCAAAATAGATATATTATCCAAGATCTTGTTATTGTGTCTTCGGGTATTGCTTTAATGAAGGAAAATGCTTGACTAGCTTTTATGGAAATTAATAAGAGAGAATATTTTACATGCTGTGTGGTTTTGATCCCATGCAATGTGTTGTGATGCATAATATAAGCAGAAATCACCTTCCTGTAAAGCAAAGTATTTGCTTACCTTAGCATTCTTTACTGATACACCGATAAGATGATCTCAGCTTACAACTGACTGCAGAGATATCACAGAAATATTGTTAAAAGCTATTTAAAATCGGGACACAAACATCTATATTTGTTAAAAGTTTATATTCCAATTTATACTGCTCAAAATGCTACAAGGTGACTTATGACCTTTGAATGGTTTCAATACCTACATTTCACTGCATTTCATTTCATTCTTTAAGGATAAGGATGCTTGTTTTGTGGAATGTGTTCAAAGGAACTTGCCGACAAAGACTGCAACGAGGAAGGATGTAGAAATAAAGGTTTCAAAGTGGCTGGCTGGGGTGCGGGACCGCGATGGGGGAAGGAAAGCAAGAAACAAAGTGTCCGGGACCTTACCTGAAGCAAATGAAGGAAGTGACTACTAGACATTATGATGTTTTTATTTTAAAAAATGCAAATCTATAGAGGACATTTGTTTGTTTGCTATGCCACTTGTGAGAATACTGTTTTTTAAAAGTCCCTCAATGATATAAAATTACATCTTACACAACAAACAATAAAGTGTCTTTTTATTTTATGCTAATGAAATTTCCTCAATATTAACTTTAAAGGGACTCCACTGAGGTTTTTTGACATGATGGGACTGAAAATATTTTTTTCCAGATAAATGTATCATTTGATGCAGGTGTAGACCACGAATCTTTGTGCAAACTTTCAGATCATTCGCGCACTTCGTTTTTCCATAATAATTATTCAAATTGTAAAAAAATGACCCAAAATGAAAAGCGTTTAAACGCTTTTCACTCAAATTAGGCTAAGAAAAGCATAAAACTACGATTTTCAATTTATTTTAAAAGTATAGTTCTTAACTATCTTTGCATATATTTCTGTTTAAAGCGCCCAGTTCATTTATGTAAAAAATTCTAATGCTATGTTTTTAGGCTTTATACCTCCGTGGAGTCCCTTTAATATTAAATCTGTTTTCCCCACTGTTAACATCAATTTTAGTTGAATTTAAGTCCAATTTCTCTGAAATACAGGAAGTCTTGGGCTGAAAAAAAAGTTTGACAATCAACGTTGCAATGATTTTATTAATTTTATTCAAAAAATATGAATGATCGCTTGTTTTAATAATAAAAACAACCAATTCTAGAAGAAAAAGTCACACCATCCCACCTTATTTCTGTTACTCAGGCAAATTTATGTAGGACCTGGCTTTGTGAAATGTAAGCGGCGGCCATTTTTAAAAGTTGTGTATTACACAGGAGGAAAATTAATTTTGTTTTATTCAGAGGAATATTATTTGGATACGTCCTAGTCTCGAAACAGTCCTGAGAATAGTCAGGAAAAATGATATTAAGGTACCACATGGGGAAAATCTTTAAAAAGTAGTCTCGTCATTGGAAAATTTGAAATTTGGATCATTTTCACTGTGAAATTTATCAAATATAATTTTCACGGATACATCAGTAATACACTCAAAAGCATAAAATGAATTACTTCTATTTTACATTTTCAAACCTTTTCTTCATCGGCATATAAGTTATTCCAATGATTGAAAGTCAATAGATATCAAAGTATTTTAAATGTGATAAGGGTCAGAACTACAGTAAGCGGCTCATTTGTATATCTTGTTATACTTTTTGTTGCTAATTTTAATGTTTGAGGTCATCAGCATAGCATGTCTTTCTTGTAAATGCACAATTGTTTGCCTTCTAGTCAGTTTATTCTGCTGCTATGTTATGTTTGTTGTTGACATTATATGCTGTTTTTCTGTTGTCTATATGCTGTTGTTGTTTTTTTCATTAAACATTGTTACTATTTAAATCAAGACATTAAATGCTTGGGGATTGTTTTTGATACTGATCAATACAATTATAACATCTTATCCAAACTTAACACTAACAGGGAACACATATATAGATATGGTATTAACCTTTAAAATCAAGTTGAAATACTTTACAATGATGCTTCTTGTAATCTTTATCTTTGTTGAAACTTTGATAATATCAGATAAATTACTGAAACAACTATTTTTACTGACAATTTGTTAAATGCACTTCTTCACAACAAATTTGTTCTTTGAAAATTATTTCGTTAAATCAGTATTATTTCACATTTTTTAAAGGAATATATCCATAATTAATTACTGTTCTGTGATATATAGGATAATTGTTTTTTTAGGAAACTTTTTATCAGGAAGCATCGCAAAGATGAAGTCATTTTAATGACTTGTCGTCATATTTCTTTCCGGCTTTCAGTATACTTCGTCAACTTTTTTATATTTATCCAGTTATCAAATTCGATGATTTTTTTCACAGACTGGCTAGTGAGTCAGGATATAATTCAACGTGTACTTCGATAAACCATTGAAAATTAGATAAAAGATTAACGAAATTCTTACTGAGAATGATATTAGCACACAGAAAACTGATTCCAACAGTAACGTTTCACAAAAGGTTACTATAACAGTATAACTATTGATATTAACAATTGAAATGCATTATATTGTAAATACTATTGTTATTTCTTGCCTTAATTGTTATTGTTGATGAAGATATGTGAAATGAAGCTGGTTATTTTTACAAACTGGTACAAACTATTTGTTACTTTTCATCAGCTGCACATTTTGTTTACACGTCTATAAACAGTATTTCTATGTGCCAAGGTTTTGTGTATAATTTTTGTTACTTTTCATCAGCTGAATATTTTATTTACACGTCTATAAACAGTATTTCTATGTGTCAATGTTTTGTTTTATTATATTTGTACATTTCACGAGCTGCATAATATTTCTTTCTTCAGCACTACCATACCAAAATGTAATATATGGTTGTAATGAACAACTGTTTATATTTATTCATGTAGATCTATTTAATTTGTCCAATACAAAGAAAACTGAAAATTTAAATATCATATAAAGCATAGATACTATTTCATTTGAAAATGAAAGTAATTGGTAGATAGAAATTTGTAATGAATTACAATAAATGTATAATACTTTTCTATGAATTATGTAGAAATTTAAAAAGACATATTGGGGTCATACTGTTGATTCACTGAAATTTAAACATTATACACATATATTTCTTGGAGTTCCAAAGACCTTCTGTAAAGTTTTACCAGTGTCTAGCATAAGTTTCATTTTTCCTTATAGTGATCTGTAAGGTATCTAATGTTATAAAACTGCATGTTTAATTATTTTGTTCACACATTATAAACAGTTTTCCATTACATTTTGCTTATTTAGTGTACCAAAGTAATATTTACTACATAGGACTTTTTGATAATAATTAATATTTCTGTATTTTCGAATTAAAAACTATGTACATGTAGTCAAAATGAAATTCTGTGGATTTACAAATATGTACAGTTTACTCGGATTTTTATATTGTACACTTTTCTAAGTTTATTTACATAAGTAAAGGTTTCTTTGTTGACATCTAAATTCCCACAGAATGTTATTGAGCTACAGGAGTAGGTTTGTAGTTGTGTCTTTGAGAATCTGTATATATATGAGCCATATATCTTACCATAAGTGAGATTACTAAATAAAGTTACATTGTTAAAGCATATACATTGTGTATTGTTTTCTTGCATGATCATATAGGCTTTGTGCCATAATATGTCTGTTCCAGGAAACAGAATGAGTTAAAACATCACTTGAATATTTAATGCAAGTTCAAGAATCATGCCCTGTAGCAAGTGGTTGCTATCTTAACGTCCAGCAAACTTATAATTGAAGTAATTGAAAATAGATCTACCCCGGACTTCAAAATCTACCCATAATGGAAGTATCTGGGATGCCCATTTGAAACCCATATTTAGTACAAGGGCTGCCCATATGGGGCCCATGTTGGGCCCATATTGAGTACATTGGCTGCCCAGATGGGGCCCATGTGAATCACATATTGAGTATAAGGGCTGCCCATATGGGACCCATTTGGAACCCGGTTGCACTTCCCATGTGGTGCCTATATGGGCAGCCCAAATGGGACCCATTTAGGTGCCCATATGGGTCTCATATGGGTCCCATATAGAATGCTATCTGGGTCAATGATGGCAATAATTCTTACAAAACTGAAAAAAAATCCATATGCAAAACACCAGGTGCACAGCTTCACGGTGAAGTTGAATATCATTCCTTTTAAGTTGATTGATTCTGACTCAATCACTCAAGGTACACACAACACAATATTGGAATTGTTTTTACTAAGTCAAGGGCAATTACTCTACAAATACTGAATAAATCCACAATCAAACCCCAGGTGAACAACTACATATGCAAACCAACGTTTCTATAATGTTTCATGACTCTAGGTCAAATACTTTTTGCGATATACACGATACAAATTGAAATTGCAAATTTTTACCAATTTAAAGGCATTAACTCTAGAAATACTGAAAAAATCCACAACTGAAAGCACTGGTGCACAAACGCTGACCAACATTCATATAAAGTCTCATGACTCTATACAAGTTGAAAATGTTAAATTTTCACTTAGTCAAGGGTATTAAGTCTACAAATACTGAATAAATTCACGAACAAACCTTCAGTTGCACAACTACACATTCTGACCAACATTTCTGTTATGTTTTTTGACTCCAGGTCAAATACATTTTGAGATTCGCATGACAAAACTTTACAATTTCAATTTTTTTACTTAGTCAAGGGCATTAGCTCTGACAAAACAAAAACCATTAACAAGCGAAACATCAGATGCACAACTTAACTTCCCGAGCAACATTTATTTTCCTGTAAAGTTTCATGACCCTAGGTCCTATACTTTTTGCGCTACGTGCTACACAAATTGAAAATGGTACACTTTTACTAAGTCAATGGCAAAAACTCTACAAATAGATATACACGCAAACACCAAGGTGCACAACTACAAATGCTGATCAACATTCCTGTAAAGGTTCATGACTATATGCCAAATATTTTTGAGCTACATGCCACACAACGTAAAAATTGCAATCTTTACTAAGTCAAGGGCAATAACTCCACAAATACTGAATAAATTCACACGCAAACACCCAGGTGCACGACTATTCATGCTGACCAATATTCTTATAAAGTTTCATGACCCTAGGTTAAATACTGTTCGAGCTACATGCGACACAAAAGAGAACGGACGGATGGACGGATGGACAGACGGAAAACAATGGTAAATATAAAATGCCTTTATAGTGAGGGGCACAATCAAAGTGCACGGCGTATCGTATATACTCGTATAATTTATATAAATGACGTTAAAAAAAAAAGTACGAAAATAAAACGTTCAAGTTTTATATATAAAAAGTAGTTGTTAATACCGTAACTTAATTTCAAAAATAGTTTCAGTGTTTTAAAGTTCAATGTTTCAAATCTTTTGCAAGACGGACGAAAATTTCAAACTCTGATCAAC